ACCATCTGAGAACTTAATAGAAATGTACTTTCTCAGATCCCACCCCTGACCTGCTGGATCTGAAACTCTGGAGTAGGGCCCAGCCACCTGCTATACCAAGCCCTCCAGGGATCTGATGCATACCAGTTTGAGAACCACTGCCCTACAGGAATTCAAACACTACTAAAAAGGTTAAATGTCTGCTATCAAACAAATACAAGTTTTGGCCAGGACCAGTGGCTCACACCTGTAATCCTAGCTACTTAGGAGGCAGAGATCAGGAGGACCTTGATTCGAGGCCAGAATAGACAAACCGTTTGCAAAAACCCATTTCAACCAATAAAAAGGTGGATATGATAGCTTGTGCCTGTCATCCTAGCTACGCAGGAAGTGTAAATAGGAGGATCAAGGCCGGCTGGGCATAAAGAGGAGACACTATTTGAAAAATGCCTAAAGCAAAAAGGACCCAGAGTACAGCTCAAGCGGTAGAGCACCTGCTTAGCAAACATAAGACCCTAAGTTCAAACCCCAATATATATAAAAGTAACAGTTTCCAGCATTAGTTTAAAAGCCATAGTTTACAGCCAGACTGGTCAGAAAATTCAGGCAAAACACTGAGGAAAAGAGAATGCTTAGTCCGTTTTTCTTCTTATGGACATATGACATAGTATGCTTATTGAACAAACCCACAATTTTTTCTTCCAACTACATCACTGCCCCTACAAAAACTTTGCACTTTTCTGTGTCTCAGCTCCCACTCCAGCCTCCTCCCTGTCCAAACCCACCTCCCAAAGGAGCTGACCTCCTACCCCACCTTCTACATTCCCTTCCTTTAGAAAATCTAATGTCCCTCCCAAATGAACCCTCAATGTCAGAACTGCCCCTTGGGAACAAACAAATCACCACCGTCCTCTGGCCTAAGAATCCTTCATCTGTCCCATCCCTTCTTAAGCTGTACTGCTGCCCTGCCGTAGCAGCCAGAAGCTGGTTCTGTGACCTAAGGTTCCTCTGTGATAGCCAGTGCACAGCTTCCTGGAGACCTGAAGTTGGAAGTCTGGAAGGTTTAGACTGAGCTGGAGGGACACCATGTGGCCATAGCTAGTATGACACACCAAGCCAGAGACCTTTTTTGGTGATTGTTTCTGTAGACTGACACAATGATGTTAAGGATATTTTTGAGAATTAAAAAATGAGCTAAAGTTCACCTGCAATTATGCTGAGAAAACTATATTTATATCTGTTCCTTCTCTTAAATATTTTCTGACAATTACACCACAGCACCCACTCCATGGAGCATCCTTCTTTTTTTTCAATGAAAATCAGGTCCTTACATTTTCCATGTTCTTTCAAGGTTTTTGTAATTGTTCTCTTCAGTGATAGCCAATACTAGACCCCCAAAAAATGTGATGAAATGGGATGAGGAGGAATTCAATTGTGTGGAGCCATGGTGGTTAAAAACCCAGCTCTACCACCTACTAGCTTGGGAACTTGGGCATGTTTCATAACTTCTGTATTCCAGTGTCCTCAGCGTCAAGGATGGGAGAACATCACCTACTGTACAGGGTTTCTGTGAGAACTAAAAGAGATAGCATGTGAGGAGACACACTTAACACTAACCTCTCTGGAACCTAACCTCACTGGAACTGCTACAACAGGTGCCAATTGAAGACCATCAGAAGGAGACCCTGAAACTGTGCAAACCTATCAGCTGACCAAAGGCCAGGAAAACATAAAACACTCAGTTTAGACAGGTGGCTCTTTGGAGTCTAGAACCTTGGAACAGACACAAAATTCCAGGCCAGGACTTCTTATCCTTGATCTTCAGAGTCACTGTAAGCTATATAACCCTGGTTTTGACTCCAACCAGCTTCTGGAAAGAGGTCATCTACCACCACCTCCATCTCAAATAGAATAAGCTGAGAAATGTGGGAACAAGCTTAGGATTCCAAAACACTTCACCCTACTAGGTGCCTCAAGAACAACTTGATCTGCATTAACCAGAGACCTGCGGTGTACTCTGCCCAGAAACTTCTGTCTATAGGAAATCGTCTCACTGCCAAGTATGCCCTAATGAGCCAAAGAAAACAGAAGAAAACCTAGACACCCTGGAGGAGTATATAAGAGGATTCTCTCTCACTGGCATCTTCCAGAGAGACAGAAAAACATTGGTGAAGGCAGCCTTCCTGAAATTCCCTCTATGTGTTAGGCTAGAGGATAAAAGATAAATTAGGTCCACCTGTGCCCTAAGTCTGCATCTTTTTGTGGGGGTGGGCATGGGGAGAGACATAGCACGTGAACCAACAAGGATGATACAGTTTCCTACTGCTAGAATTCAGGGGTGTTTGGTACAGCAGGAACAGACACACGAACCATCGATTCTGTCCTGGACAGTGAGGGAAGGCTTCACAGAGGAGACATCATTTGGGGAGGTGATAGATGGAGTATCAGATTATAGGCTGATCCATGAGGAGGTATTTATTGCAGCACAGCTGAACACCATAAGGCCTGAACTATAGAACAGAGCCCTGGGATTGAGTGGAGGGAAGGGATATTTTGGAACTGAGGAGCAAGTTAAAGTACAGATTCCCAGGCTTTGTCCAGAGACCCAAATCTAGTAGGTCTAAGAGGGGTCCGGGAATCTAAGTATTTACCAGGCCCTCTCACCACCCCCAGGGTGTGCACCACTATGATCAACCCCACAACATCCTCACCACTGCTAACCTTCTTAAAACTCTGGCCTCTGCCTGGAAGTTTCTACTCCTACTCGGCAAATGCCTTCTCCTTCAAAACCCAGCAGGTCAAATACCCATAGACAAACTCTTTCAGAGTGCTCACTTTGTGCCAAGAACCAATTCATTACTTTTCATAGAGTATTTCGTTAATCTTCCAACAACCCTATAGAGTAAGGCTCTTAATAAACCTGATGCTCCAGATAAACTGAGGCACGGAGCAGTTAAGCAAGGCCCATAGCACAGTGCTGGCATGTGGACTTTCTATCCGTCTCTCCACTAGCCTGCTCACAGCATGAGGCCAAGTTAAGCTGTGTCTGTGCTCCTGGAGCTTAGGGCAGTGTCCCGCACACTGTAGCTGCTCAGTAAATATTTGTCCCATAAATCAGAGAATAAACAAACACTGCCTCCTTCCATCTGTGATCCCCAGCCGTTTCCCTCTTCTGCTCTCTCCGTCCTCCCCCACTGCCCTCTCTTTCTCTCCTTCCCTGGGGCTTGGGACTCCTTTCCTCAGGTCTGCAACCTAGAAGTGTGCTGCAGTTCCCTGAGCCCAGCCTCACCCTGCGGTGAATCAAGCCACAGAGGACCAAAGAACACACTTTCCATGTTTGTGGAGCCTTTTTATTTGGCAGTATGCGAGAGGGACTGGCCTCCTCTTTCCCGGGGTTCCTGCCAAGCCTCGCCCCCACAGCTGCTCGCTCCCTTCCTCTCTCTGCCCCTCTGGCTCAGAGTCCCGATCCCTCCTTCCCTTTCGCTCTCCTCCCTGCATTCTTTCTACCCCTCGGCCCTCCCGCATTGTCTCCAAGCCACTTTCTCTCTAGGCTTTCCAAGCCCTTCTCTCCCCTCACCGCTTTTGCTTTGGGGCCAGTTCCTCCTTCCCTCCCTCCCTCCCAGGTCTCCTCACCCTCTCCTCTCCCCTCCGCCCCTCCCTGGCCTTTCCCACACTCCCGAAGGAGGTCGGCAGCTGCCCTGGCTCCCTCCTCCTTGCATCAGAGCCTCCAGGCCTTCCCTGGGGCCCTTCCCTCGGGCCAGGGCGACTTGGGTCGCCCAGGCTTCTGCCTCCCGAGCCTCATTAGTGCTCCTCACCTCACACTACCTGGCCATCCCTCCCTCCCCGGGGCCTCCTCCCCAAGCCGACCCAGCTCTGAGCCATCGGGAAAAAAGAAAGGGAAAAAAAACACCGCGGGTTCCCTAGCGGGGCCTTCGGCCTGGATGGACAAGGGGTGCTCCCATCCGCGGTGCCCAGACCCCGCAGGGTTCCTTCTAACCAAATCTAGGAGCCTCTCCTACTCCTGGGAGGCCAGCGGTGAGCCTTGCGCGTGCGCCGAGCCCCTGAGCCCCGCTCCTGCCCCCAACCCACCCAACTCCCCTCCCACTCTATCCCCCACCCCCGCAAGTCTCCCACCCAGCACGCCGGAACCGCAGCTGCTGTGATAGTCCCAGCCTCGCCGCCGGACCGGTTGGTGGCCAGGGGAAGGCCTTCAACCGCAGCCCAAACTTTCCAGTAGAGCCATCCCATCTGCGAGCTCACGGCCATCCGACGTGTGGGACAGAAAACCTGCTAAGCAGCAAATACACTGGAAATAAAGGCGATCACTGAAATGGGTAGTTCTGAAAGGAATCACTGCGCACATGTATGCTAAAAACTGTATATGCATTTGTGCAGATTATTTTATTTCAGGCCTCGTCTGCTCCTCAGACTCCGGTGTTTGACTTAATTGCTCAGAGTCACACAACCAGTAAGTAATGGAGCTAGAATTCTTAGACTGCCCAAGTGACTTCAAAACGGATCTACTGTTCCCTACTAATAGAAGGTACTATGGATATTAAACTATGGAATGCTACTTGTGTGGGGAATGGAGTACACCTGAGCAGGATATTCAGAAAGGCTCCAAAGAGAAAGTGAAGTCGGAGTGGGTTTTCAGGGATGAATAGGTGCTCCTTAGGTAACCAAAGAAAGTGGGTAAAGGAATGGTGCAAGCAATCTCCTTTGATTTGCTATGAATTTTTCTTTAATAAATATTTTAAAATCCAAAATAATTTCTGGGCAAGTAGTTTATTTGTTAATCAATTCAGAATTGTTCTGAGGGTCCCAGCATGACTGCACTCATAAATAATATCAAATTAGAATTTAACACTAACATTCAAGTCGACTTTTAAAAGGGTAAAAAAAAAAAAAGGTCTAGGAGCATGGCTCAGGTGGTATACAGCCTGCTTAGCAAGTGCAAGACCTTGAGTTCAAAGTCCAGACCCACCAAAAGATAAAAAGTAAAAGGGAAAAACAGTCACCCATAATGCCCCTATTCTAATTGCCCTGTGTTTCCTCCCAATTCCTGCCAGTAAGTGCAGGAGCACTTAACCTGGGCAGTGCAGAGGCAGCTCCATTAATGTGAGCAAATGGATGTTAGAGTGTGTAGTGGAATTTACAGATGTTCTACCTAAGTGACTGTGTTTTCATCTGTCTGAATCACTATATTTATGTAGCAGAAACAATCTAACATCACTATAGAAATCACTCATTTCTTGCTTTGCACAGAAGACACAATGAGTGTGCACCTGCTTAATTTTCACAAAGTAGACTTCAACCCTATTTAGTGCCCAAGTCTCCCTCCCATACGCTCTCCTGCTTCACAGATTCTCCACTCATGTCAAACTGCCCTGTCTGCCCAATGTTCTGAGAACACTGTAGGCACACTCCCATCTCCAGGACTTGGCTCTTTCCCTACCCTTTCTTTCAGAGCCTGTCCTCAGATATTTTTACCCCCATTCTTAGGGATTCAAATAAAGTTCCAATTTGTCACTACTGTTTTTTCAGAATCCCTACAGATCTTCCTGACTCTGAGCCCTTCCTTACTATTGGTTCTTACTGCTTACTACCTGAACCACTCATTGTTTACATTGTATTATTTACAGGCATGCTGTCTCCTAGATCTGAAGATCTTAAAGGCAAAGACCAGGTTCAAGTTCTCCTCTCTCTTCTACTCACAGCACAATTTGCAAAACTGTGTTGATTCTAAAGATGCTGGTCAAAGTGCCACAAGACACTATAACTTCCAGCCATAAGAAAAAGTATACTCAGAAGTCAGACTGAGCCAGATTCAAATCCTAATGCATGCACTTACTGACAGTGTGACCTGGGGAAATTCTCTGAACCTCTCATCTATAAAATAGGGAAAGTAATAGGGCTATTGGAAACATTCAATGAGGTAAAGCTTAGCACACTATAAAAGCAGTGTATCATACAAAGTGAATAAGCAATTGGTGCTATTTTTATTATTACTGACAACAATGATAAAAAAAAGCAGGACCTCACAGTTTGTTAATAGGTTTCAAAGAGCATTTGTTTAATAAAAGTCATTAAACCACCAATATGATAAACTTATCTGTTGAAGAATTTCACTCAGTGACAAGTTGTGCTGGGGACTTTGCAGTTGAGTGAAATTCCATAGTTCTGAGATTTGGCCATCCAGGGCCAACTGTCTGGCACCCTTGCTCAAAGTCTGCAAGGATGTGCTCACTTGAACAGTCACTACTTAGTTTCCAGAATTTGGAATGGCACTCAAAGCTAGCTAAGTCTTGTGGAATGTCAGAGCTAGAAATAACTTGAGGGACAACCCTTGTTCTATACCCAAGGAAGCAGCAGCCCTGACACAGCCACCTGGCAGGGAAGTCACCTATCAGGGAAGTGGCAGAGCTGGAATTGTGAACCCAAATATCCTGACCTCCAATTCAGGGCTCATCACCAATGCATCTCGCTGGCTCCTTAGAAAAAGAGCATCTCTGAGTGGCTCACTGCTTCATAGACCAGGAACACTGTGATCTGACGTCCTCTAGCTGTACTTATTCCCATACACTACACGGAGCCACCACAGAGATTACAGGAAGAAGAGTATGACTAGTTCCATAGCTATTAGATGTAAAAACAATGCTGTTGTTAAAACCTTCAGCCTCTTCCACGAACTGCAATCTAAATTCCATACTAGAGTGAGACTAGCTAATGTTCAAGGTGGTAAACAACAATTGCAGCCTGAATCTTCTGTTGAGGGCTCCTGCTCAGCATTTGAACTCAGGCTCTCAAAGGTAGGTCAGGGAATATGAGAAAGTTACCCTCTGGGACTCATATGCAGAGACATTCACATGGATGGCGGCAATTAGGAAGAAAAAATCTGCGTAGAAGTATTCCATGCTCCTGAGACAGCGAAGGCCCAGATACATGGTCTCTCACAGCTATGGTTTCACCTAGGAGGAAGGCAAGGAAGGGAAGTGAGTATTTGTTGAGTAAATGACTGATTACCAAGGGTGCAGCTCAGTAATCACCTACAGCCCCGTAAGTCACTTTTGAGCAACTAAAATTCTGCAAACAGAATCATCACCCACCTGGCATACAGGGCAGAGCTTGGCTCGTGTCTCCACCTTCTGGGTCTTTCTCAAATAACAGATTATAGGAGTTCCTGGCATGGAGAACTCACAATAAAATTTGCCCAGTGGTGCATCTTGCCTGAATCAAATTTAACAATTGTGATGGCCCCATAAAGTCACTTGGCAGAGAGGATCCATCCCTGCAAAGCAGAAACATGCCTTGATTGATGGGAAGCCTCTTCAAATTGAGGCCCAGAGCAGAACCAAAGGTTCCCTTCCATCCCTCATCTTCTATGATTTCAGCCATCACTTGTATCCTGAAAATCCAGCAGGTCTATAGGTGGCTCAATGTGACCTCATCATAGCCTTGTCCTTAACTTGTCCCCATGCATGTAGGGAGCCCACATGCCTGCCAGGATAACACTGAGCACCGACCTCTACACTGGCTGACTTTGGGGTCCAGAAGCCACCACCTCCTCTAGAAACAGTGATGTGTTCCATTCCTCCAAACTAACTCCCTGGGCATTACATCTATAGATGTTCAGGATCCCAGATGGGCCCATTTGTTGATCACTTACCAAGGACTTACCTAAACTTTTTATAGGCACTATTTGATTTTGTTCTCCTGATGGCCAAATGAGGTAGATTTTATTATACCCATGTTATATGTGAGGAAACAGAAGTTCAAAGATCAAGTGATTGGTCTGAGGTCACACAACTAACAAGAGGCAGAGCAAATTTAGAACCCACATATGTCTGACTCCAAAGCCCAAGCTTATAACCTGTGCACCCTGGAAGCCTCTGTCACATTGTCCTTCATTGCTGAACTCTGGCACCATGTACCCATGAACACCAGACATGCGGACTGGAGACAGCTGGGGCTGGTCCTGGTCTGGCTGCATTTGTCCATCTGTTCATCCTTCCAGCTGATGTTGACACCTACTGTGGGCCAGGACTGCTGCAGGTCAGGTGCTGGGGATTCAGAATAAACAGCACAGAGGTCCCGCACTTCACATGAGGATCTTAAAGACAGACAAAATCTTATTCTAGAGGCTGCTCAGTCTGTGGCCTGTGTATGATCACTTTTATCATCAGAGATCATACTGGCAGGGTACTCTGGATTGGGCTAAGCTGGCTCTTGAAACCTGTAGCACATAAAGTTAAGAACACTGTGGCCAAATGGCACTGCTATTGATCCCACACTAGTATTTATCCCAGGGGAACTTCAAATAATAGAAGCAGTCATCTAAAACCATGCTCTCCATCTGTCTGGACGCTGTTAGCTGTACCTTCAAATGACCCATTCGCAGCAATATTTCTGGAGCCATTGTAATACAAGTGACAGTATTTTGTGGGGCTTTGTCTTGTTTTGTTGGAGGTACTGGGGATTGAACTCAAGACCTCTTACTTGCTAGGCAAGTGCTCTACCACTTGAGCCACACCCCAGTCCTTTTGCTTTTAGTTTGTTTTTCAGATACCTTTGCCTGGGGCCAGTCTCAGATGTCATTCCTCCTCCTGTGCCACCACACTGGAGCTATCATATTTCTTTAGTGACTGATTTCACTTGTCAGAGAAGGGATGGGAGACCCTGGACAAATTCTAAGTGGACCAAACACTCTCTCACCCCTACACTTTCCAGGCCATTAGTGATATTTGTTTTTCCTTTAAATGGGAAGTCAATGGGATTATACAATTGTGGCTAATCCTGCACTGTAGTCATCCCAAATCTGTGTGCATATTCCAGAGATTATTCAGCTAGCCCTCGGAGTCCACGGGCAACACATCTGTGGGTTAAAGATGATGCCTTATGGCAGCAACTTTACATGGTGGAAGGGAGAAGGGACCAAGGCTCTCCTTTCAACCTCTCACGAAGTCACTCTCCCATTCCTGAGGGCTCTGCCCTCATGACCCTAAACCCTCACCTGCATATACTTCTCACAGCAAATGGAGCATGAGGGGCATGCCAGAGTTCTGTAATCATTCCTCTATGCCCAGCACAGTATTCTTGTTAGCCCACTGGGACTTCCCATCCCAAGAGGGGACACTCCCATTTCTTCCCCAGGGAGGAAATCAGAGGAGCTAGTGAGTGTGCACAGAACTGGGCAGAACAAGCTTCAGGCAAACGACTTCTGTATTTACCCACTGAGACTAAGTAAGCCTTTCTAGCTAGGGTATCCTACACTACTTGAACTTCCAGATCATTCCCACCTTTGGAAACCAACTGAAAAACAATTCAGGTTGTACCTGGACATTGTTTGGCAATGCTCTCCAAAGAGAAAAAATGTAAACAAAGAGCAGTCCTTCATGTGCTAAAATATCCATCTCATTCCTTAATAAAAAAGCATCTGGGTCAGCCTAGCACAGAGGAAGTGCATCTGGATATTATAAACTTTGAACAAGGCCTCTTTGTAGGGTCAGCCCTCCTTGGTCAAAATATCATCGTGTTCACTGAGGGGGAAATGGCATTGTAAATGACTTGGAGTAAAGGTTTTCAGTTTACTGATTTTTATTCCTTTTGTGTAACAATCGAATTATGCTACACTGATGTATGGCAAGGTACCCCAAATGATTTTTGCCTCTGTGAAGTGTACAATCTATTCATTCCTTGACTACTTGATGGCACCCAACAGTTTCTAACCAAGCTCTCCCTTCTCCAGGAAGTCTGCCCTGATTCTTACTCTGGGTAATTCTCCAGCCATAGTAAGGCACTCCCTCTGAACCTTGGTCATACAGTATTAATGGCCTAAAGTCATATTAGGCATATAGCAATAACCATGGGTGGAGGGATGCCTTTTGTTCATTCAATGAGAAAGTAAATGGAAAATCAGAACTGTCAAATGACTTTTTAAGAACAGCTTAACTGTCTGTGACCTTCCCGGAAAACTACTAAATGTCTACTATGATAGCTTAATGTTTCTATGCAAAATAGCAATGCGCTACTGGTATTTCTGTCATTTCTCTAGCAACTATTTTAAAACCTGTATGTGGTAGCTCAGCCTTCCTTGGACAAAAATCTACTTCTAAAATTTATTCCAAAGAATTAACTTCAGGTGCCCACAGGATGTCCATTGCTATCCTGTCTTTATGTAACTAGGGGGGAAGAAAAGCAGGGCTATATATAAGTAAATTGTAGTGTTTCCATTAGGCAAATAGCAAACAATCATGATAGTAATTGTCTAAAGATATGGTAAATTCCTCACAGTATATTTTAGATTTCAAAAGTCAGATAGCATGGGCAGCATTTTCCCAATTTTGCACATGAGGGAAGCTTATTGCACCAATACAAGAATAAAACAACCTACACTGGTTATCACTGGGTTTTTCTTTATTCCTCAGTTTTTCTGCAAGAACGTTAATTTTTTTTTCTATGTCTTAAGCTTTTAAAAAGGATAAGATAAATAATGATAGCAAGAATTTGGGAAGAGGGAGTCTAATTGGACACTTACAGCTTTAAGATTTCTAGCAGCTAATGAAAAATGGAAAGTTTTCATGTTTCATTGTAGTTATTGCGTAAATGTTTACCTTCTAAAGAGCACTGTTCTTTATCCTGCAGAAGATTTGTGAGTTCAGCTTTCATAACACCAGAACATTTTCATACTATAAACTACTCTGAGGAGGAGGACAGGAAGTACTGTTTCTTCTGTTGTTTTCATCATGCCGGACACAGTTAACTTTTTTCTGGCAACTGCACCCTGATTTTCCTCACTGGAATCACCCTCGCCCTTGTTCTCAGAAGTGAATGTGCACAAAGAAAATGCAGTGTATGCATATATGAAAATGTAATATTACTCAGCCTTTAAAAAGAAGAAAATCTTGCCATTTGCAACAACATGGATGAGCTTAGAGGACAGTATGTTAAGTGCAATAAGCCAGACACAGAACGACAAGCACTTTGTATGATCCCACTTACACGCAGGATCTTAAAAAGTTTAAACTCACAGGTGCACAGAATAGAATGGTTATGTTAGTTATGTTGCCAGAAGGTGAGTGAGGCAATAAACACGTGAGAGTAATTATTAGGAGCAATGTTTCGATTGTGCAAGATAAATTAGTCACAGCATGGTGACTAAAGTTAGCAAGAACGTATTGTATACTTGAACTGTGAGTAGACATTAAATGTCTTCAACACATGTAAGTGCACGCACACACACTCATGCAAATGGTAAATGGTAACTGTGTCACTGATGCATATGTAAAATAACTTGATTATAGTGATCATTTATATATGTGTGTGTCTGTATATAGGTATATTATACATATGTCACATGTATGTATGTATGTATTTCTACATATGTGGTGGCACACACTGTAATCCCAGCACTCTGGAGGCAGAGGCAAAAGGATCTCAAATGCAAAGCCAGCCTGGGCTATATAGTGAGACCCTGTCTCAGATAAAAATTTACACCTAAATATAAACAATTTCTAATTTTTAACTATACCCTAGTAAAGCTGGATGTGACTGTCCATAGCAAAAAGAGAGATACCACCTCCCTGATTCCAGACATGGCCATTGACTCAGCCCTGACCAATTGGCCTAATCACAGCCAATGAGATGAGGTAAAAACCTTATGACTGCTGACAATCACATCATCTCTTCTACTGGATTTAAATGTGAGAGGACAAAAGACTGATGCTGTCAGGAGCTTTCTTGTCATCAGTGTGAGCTTGAAAGGTGAAGACAACAAAGGGAGAGCTAATAGAAAAAAAAAAGAGTGAAATTTAGGATTCTTGGTATTCTTTGAGCTCCTGGATCAAACCATACCATCCTATCTCTGTTCTTTAAGTTGCATTAAGTGAGTAAATCCTCCCACCTTTTTCTTAAGCTAAGATGAGCTGAGTTTTCTGTTACTGGCATAAAGAGTCCTAAATGACACACTTTTTTTTTCAAAAAAAAAACCATTTTATTAGTATGTGATAGCTATACAGGGGATTTCCTTGTAACAGTTCCAAACATACATGTATTATACTTTGACTTGGTCAATCCCCTCCATTATTCTCCCTCCTACCTTATTTCCCTTCTTAAAGTGCCTTCAGTAGTTTTCAATGTTCCATGTTCATACTTGTATAGACAGTACGTCAACCATATTCACCTTCTTTACTCTCTTCATTTTCCCTCCCCTCTTACTAGTGCCCTCTCCTTAACATGACCTGTTTTACATTCCTAAACTTCATTGTTTAAGTGTTCATTGTTCAGTGGGGATTTTGCCCTGGTATTTTACCTATAAATACATTGTGCTTAAATCAGTATAACTTGCTCCACTATTCGTCCTCAAAATTTTCCCCCATCCTGTATTGTTCAGCAGTTTTCAGTGTGTTTCGTTATGTCTTATTCTACACATATGTGATGTATTTCAATATTGTTCACCCTCTACCATTCTTTTCTCTTTCCCTCTTCCCTCAGGCTCCTCTAACAACCCCACTTTTGGAAACATGTTCTGTATATACTAAGTGATAGATTCTTGAGTTAAATATCTATTTCCAAATTCTCCAGGGACAACAGCCAAGCACACCTCTTAGAAATTATAAATGCCCTGCAGAGGTAAGACACAACGCCTCATGTCTGTCACCCCAACTACTTGGGAGGTGGAGAGTAGGAAGATCACAGTTCAAAACCAGTCCAGGAAAAAAGGTAAAGACCTTATCCAAAAAATAACTAAAATAAAAGGATCTGGAGGGGTGGCTCAAGTGGCAGAGCATCTGCCTAGGAAGCACAAGGTCCAGAGTTCAAATCCCAGTACTGCCAAAAACTAAAACAAATGCCCTGGAGAAACTGATAAACTCTCTATGAGAGTAATTAAGGGAAGTCAGAACAGAGACCAGATTTTTTGTTTTTACTTTGCATGTCCTTTCATTGGACAATTATACTTCTGAATCAGAAATATATCCCTCAGCATGCTACTGTGAAGAATAAATAATGACAAACATATTAAAATGCTTAGCACAGTGACTCACAATGGATTCTCCACAAGTTTTAGCTGTTTTTCTCTCAGAATATTATTGTTCAAACACAAAGTGCACACCC